CCCCCCCCCATGAATTTTTGGCACCCCCTTCCCCAGAGAAAAATAAGAAAATCCATCTATATATGGAATTCAGATGAGAAAAGTATAATTGCAGGTCAGAAATTTTTTGTCATCCTGAACTGACCATAGATCAGCAATCAGGTTGTCATTTGCTGATAGCCAGCCTGAATTCCAAGGCCTGAAATTGCCATAGATAATTTCATCTTTGGCAGCAATTACTGTTTTCCATTGATAATTGTGGGTTAAAAGATGGTAACATAAGTATATAACAAAGTAAGGTAGGTGCATTGTGGCTTAAAGACCATAATTTTTCCACTGGCAAATTTGTTTATGCAAACAGTAAAAAAGTAGACAGTCTAGGAACTGATCCAACTTTTTGACCAATCAGGCAATCACATTGCCAAGATTTGTTTTTCGCTTTGCAGGAACAAATTTGCCTAGTGGAAAATGGGCTTAAGACATATAATTACCAAAATCATGTATCCTGCCTCTCACTTGAAAAATGTGTGATGTTTTTGCATTGAAACATTCAGAAATGTGACCACATTACTAACATCATGAAATGAACATCGTGGGAATAGCGATGTCTGATTGGCCAGCAAGAAATTATATTGACATAGCTAAAAATAGTTTCACATTTTAAATACTGTAGGAAATGTAGTCTCATTCCTGAATGTTTTGAGACGAAAACATGACCCTTTTTTTTGGGCAAGAGGAATCATCCACGGTTTTGGTAATACCCCATGTTGGTCGTTGGATGAATAATTGCGAATGCCTGGTCGCAGAGACCTTGTACATTTGTTAATTTTGAGTTATTAGGGAGTCAAAATCTATACACTGGTCATTGCTAGGCAGCGTGACTTTTTGTGTAGTAGAGCCTAACCTTGAATAAAATTGATCACCACCCACTCGGTTAATCAGTAAAAATTTCATGTCTCCATGAACTCGTTTAAAGTGTACTATCAATTCGTTCTGAAGCTGATCCAACACGTGGGACAATATTTGTAAATGAGTGCTGTTGAATCTCCTCAGACAAAGGCACTAATCACTATATTTTTAACAAATGTGGGCAATATTATTCCATGTCTGGAGATAAAACGAAGTGTTTTTAAATCATCACATTTCCATATCTTTTTTTAAATTCCAGGTTTCCAAATCATTATTTTCGCATTTAAAATAAGAAGATGTTATTTATTATGAAGAGAATGAAGTACAAAGTTATTATTCAAGTTTTGGGCCATTTTCTGAACTTGAAGATCTCTTATCAGATTGACAGATTGTTACCATAGTTTTCTTTCACTGTAAAGCATGTCTCATTGTCTTGAAAGTAACACAAAATTTCCAAATAAAAAACATTTTGATCGTTTTATATTGTATATTTAGTGATTAACCAATCTTAGTATTTTTGCACAAGTGAACATAACAATTCCTACAAGTTGACCGGTCAAATTTGACGTATTAAACTGTGACGTATCAGGCTCGGTGATTATCGGGGAATATTCACTTCGACTTCGTCTCAGCGAATATTCCCCGATAATCACCTCGCCTTCGGCGAATAGTTATTAAAAGCTACAATTGGAATAACAATCAAGTTTAACTTGCAGTGGTGGATTTATAGAGGGGGTGCACAGGGGTGCAAAGTTTGTTCTCAGACTAATTTGGAATTCAAGGCAGCACCATCGCACTAGCTCAAAATACAAGTCCAATATAAATAATTTTTTAGTTATTTTGATTAAATAAAACAAAATTTTAATTTTGCTGCAAACGTCAAACATAAGTATTTGATAATGAAAATAAAAATTACAAAAGCAATCAAATGTTAAAAATTTCCATTTTGTCTTGCACACAATCACAGTATATATTTTATATAATTATTTTTTTATATAATTATTTTTTTAATTAATTATTCAACATATCTGTAAATTGTAAGCACGAAACCACTTGGTGTACTTCCTGTTTCATGACAGTACACTGCCGTCCAGTGCTGGATTTGGTGTGCTTGCCTGCTCACCCAGCACCCCCGTAAAAAAACCTTGCTGGATCCACCATGCACTGTTGACTTGTAATACAGTTGGAGTATCAATCGGCCCTGGTTATGACTAGTAAAAAGGTAGAAAAGGTAGTAAAACTACCATGTGAACAACACCAATTTTTCACATGATACATGTAAAGTACACACGCAAAAATCTCACAACTTGTCAACAAGATGTGTTCGCAACAGGTTTGCAGCAAGCTTGTCAACAAGTTGTAACAATGCTGTTATTTTATCAAGTTGCTACAAGGTTGTCATTCACAACTTGTTGACAAGTTGTTGAATAGCAAGACGATAACAAATTGTTGGAACAACTTGTAACAAGTCTGTTGAGCTCAACAACCTTGTAGCAAGTTGTCAACAAGCTGTTGACAACTTGTCAACAAGCTGGGAACAATACACACGTAAAAACGCACAAGTTGTAACAAACCTGCAGCAGACTTGTAGCAATGCTGTTCCAACAACTTGTCAACAGGATGTGTTCGCACTGCTTGTTCCCAGCTTGATGACAAGTTGTCAACAAGCCGTTGACACCTCGCTACAAGGTTGTTGAGCTCAACGGACTTGTTACAAGTTGTTCCAACAACTTGTTATCGTCCTGCAATTCAACAACTTGTCAACAAGTTGTGAGTGACAATCCTGTAGCAACTTGATAAAATAACAATATTGTTAGAACTTGTTGACAAGTTTGTTACAAGCCTGTTGCGAACACATCTTGTTGACAAGTTGTGAGATTTTTACGTGTGTAATTTTCAAACAACCACACAATTAATAATAGTTTTGTATAAAAGACTTCCGCATTCTTCAGCTTGGCAAATTCAGTGACTGCCTCTGGAATAGAGTTGTAATTTTACTCGCATGTCAATCCATTATACTCGGTTTGCACCATTTATATTCATTTCAATGGTTTGCACTTAACGTCATGGGCCATGTTGGAGATACCCTGGGCACCAGAGCCTCCTCGTCGTGTCCTCACTTCATAAGAGGCTCTGGTACCCAGGAGTATGTTGGAGGAACTTTAACAAAATAATTTCATTACCAGCTATTTGAATCTGGAGCGTGTTCTCCAACTTGGCTGCCTTGTCCGACTTTGTCTTTACTCTTATAAATCTCAAGGGATTGATTGCAAGCCACCAATCACTAGTGCTCTCATCATAGTTGCAATGCCATTTAGGGTGGCTCAATACAGTTTTTAAAAAATGGAAAATTCACGATTCAGATCCGTATTTTGGACAATTATTACTTGTTGAAAAACAAAAAGTATCTTTGATATAAAACAAGATCTAAAGAGTTTGAATTTTTGTACAAAAAGGTACGAAACTGCCGTTTCTATGGAAACAATGACGTTTCGAGAATATTTTGCCTTTAAAGTAATTTAACTCGTAAACCACATCGGTGACCCCCAAATTTTATTTCAAAAAATGATTTCGCTTATTATTTTTGACAATTTAAAAAAATTCTGTTGAGTAAAAAAAACTTGCATAATCACCTTTACGTAATTTGAAAATTTTCGGCTCAACAGAACAATATACTAAGTCTAAAGCCCAGGTCACACTACACAACGATACGATAACTTGTATACGCGCGCTGATTGGTCAAAAATTTATCGTTATCGTCCGACTGAAAAAAAAATCGCTCAGGTGAGCGATTTTAAAATCGTTATCGTCTAACGATCATTTTATCATTTTCGTTGTTGTGTGGACACTAACACAATTTTTTTGCCAATTATCGCGTGTTTACAATTTATCGTATCGTTGTGTAGTGTGACCGGGCCTTAAGCCTGGTCTAAGTAAGAGAAACCATTTTGTGAAATAAAAAATGGGGGTCACCGATGACGATGTCGTTTTCGAGTTAAATTACTTAACTGCCAAAATATCCGCCATATTGAAACGTGATAATTTTACATAAGTATAAGATGCTTTTTGTAATTTTTCAACAAGTAATACTTGTCCAAAAATACGCATCTAAATCGCAAATTTTCCAGTTTTAGAAAACACTGCGATATTTCACACGAGTTCAAATTCTTTTGCGACCTGCAATGCGATTATATGCAATAATTTATCATTGTTATCAATTTTTCTCTTTGCCGATTGGTCAAGACCGTATCACGTGCCGGTCCACAAAACGTAATGTTCACTGCGTGCTTTGCCGAGGAGGCAACCGGCTACAATGAAACATTGACCGGTCAATAATAAAATGGGTGTATTGCACCCATGAAGTTCCAAAGTTCATTTTTTAAACTTTTTATTAAACATTTACGGCGTTCCATTTATCCAGTTTTGGTTTCAAATTAAGTTCACTCCAATAACCGGTGAATTATTTATACTTTGACACTTATATACTATATAACAAAACACTTATCTACTGAGACCTCGGGAAAGCAGTGTGTTTTGTGGCCCCTCGACTGCCGTGGTTGCCCTCTGCTTCGCCTCGGGCAACAACGGCGGTCTCGGGTCCACAAAACACACCGTTTCCCTCGGTCTCATGCAGTAAATAAGTGATAATTATTACAGTTTACAGACAACTTGTCGCGACCATTGCGAAAGGCAATCTCGTTCCCCGAGCCTGCGATCCCCGGGAAGGAACGTGAGGCTCTGGGATGATCCGTTTCAGGGAGGAATCTGATTGGCCGTTGAAATGGAATGCGTAGTTGAATCTTAGCCAGGATTCCTGGCTTCCTCCTTCCCGAGGATCGCAGGCTCGGGGAACCAGATTGTGCGAGAAGGCCAGGAACAGCTCGATCTCTTCCGAAAATTAAGGCTATGTCGTAATTGTAAGTTTTAAAAAGTTTTAAATACATTAAAGTCTAAACAAAGTTATACAGACGATTTATGAACGACCTTTTGAATATTTCTGTTCTCACTAGGGGGAGTTCATACTCATGCCCTCTAGGCCTAAGTAACCTACTTTTTTCCGGCAGCAGTTCAAGCAATGCATTGTCCCCAGTTGATGTTATTTTGTTCCACAGTTTCTTATCTCTCTTATCACGTATTTCTTTAATGTGTGTTCGTTTTGATATATAACCATTCTTATGTGCACGTTTAATGAATTATCTATTTGACATATCGACATAATTAGGCTATCAAACAGCAGATCTAATTGTTTAATTGATAGTCCATAGTATTTGCAAACTCTCATAATGTACATTCGTCCACTTGCTTTTTTGAGCATTTCTTCGAAGTGCAAATCCCAGTTGCACGGATTATCTTGTAGAGTAACTCCCAAAAGCTTTAGCCATGTTTTTCGCTTAATTGAAGGGATAAGCTCAGGCAAAACTATAGAGGTGTGTCTGGGAACAACCATTTCGTACGTTTTTTCCAAGTTTAAGGGCATTCTATTCTCTTCCGCCCAATCCTGTTAACAGGCAGCTTCAGATCGAGATGTGTCACCACTTTCGTTGCCAGGCACTCCTAACGTCAAATCACCAGTTTTAATATCATCAACCATTATTGAGAAAAGAACTGGGCTTAAAACGGTACATTGAGGGACACCACGATTAATATATAAATATTCTGTAACAATTCCATCAACCATTACTCTTTGTATTCTATTTTCTAGAAAGCTAATTAACCAGTTCACCACATACGGATTAATGGGTAGCTTTTTAACTTTTTCAAACAAAAGATCGTGGGGCACACTGTCAAATGCTTTGCTGAAATCGAAGGACAGACTCTAACATAATTAGCGTTTTTATCCAGCCACTCTAGCCATTGATGTTGGGATTTAATCAGGGCCATAGTCGAGTTGTGACCCTTTTTATAAGCAAATTGGTCAGGACCAATGTTATTTCTTGTGATAGGTGCGATTTCAGATTTATACACGCACTTCTCGAATAGTCTCATGATGATGTCCGTCAGAGAGATTGGTCTTAACTGGTTGCACGAATTTAATGGTGATTCTTTAGGGAGTGGTAATAAATTAGCGGATTTCCATTTCTGAGATACTTTGCTGGTTTTTAGTGACATGTTAAAAATTTCTGTGACAATAGGAGCTAATTCAATAGCAAACGATTTCCAAAACCAATATGGCAGATTGACCGGACCCGATGAAGAGCGTTTTTGATTCAGTAATGCATGCTACGTTTACACGCTACGATTAATCGTGCACGATTCGTATTCTGGCGTATTAAAATGAGTGCTGGCGCCATAATCTCTTTGCCGTTTCGTTAAAAAGAAATTTCAAATGTAGCCAGCTTACGCGTGTTTACTCAATGACATACGCCAGAAAACGAATCGTACACGATTAATCGCAGCGTGTAAACGTAGCTTAATAGATGTTGAACTTCATGAATTGACAACGAAGGAATTCTTGTTCCTTCGGAGATTTGAAGAGGCTCGGGAGTCGTATAATTTGGGCCTGTATTCACACTTTGAAAATATTTGTTAATTTCACTAGGGTTAAGAGAAGCACTTACAGATACATCATGTTTCTTTTTTCTCGAGGTAATGCTATTTACGTTAGACCACCAACTTTTCGATCCAGTTTTCTGGTTGCCAAACTCCTGTTTGACTGCACTTAATTGATTTTCCCGAATTAACTTGTTGATTTTTTCTTGCAATCGTGTATTTGCTTCAGTATTTCCGTTTTGTATGGCTCTTTTCCTTTGATTCAGAAGGTGGTTCACAAGAGGAGACAACGGAGGGTCGCGTGATGACGTTCTGACCTTGATTAATGGGAAGCTCTTATCGAGTTTTGGCCATATTATTTCATAAAATTTTAGAGTTATCTCATCTAGGTTACGACTATTCATAATTATCGTGTTCCAATCAATAGATTCAAGTTCACGAAGCATATTCAATTGATGATGTTGTCTCACATCTCTGAAATAGGAATTTGTCCTTATTGCTTTATCTATGTTTCGGGGGTATGTGATAACCATATCATGGTCGGATCTCACCAAGCTTTTTACAACTTTAACAGATTTCCAATAGTTTGGGACATTTGTAATAAAGACATCTAATATTTTTAGCCCTCTCGTAGGGGTCTTAACGTGTTGGGTAAATGGAAGTTGATTAAGAACAGATCGAATATTTAAATTGTTAATGTCACCAGCAATTATTATATTTGAATTCGGTTTAGATACTGCGCGTGCAGCCTCCTGCGCGTGCAGCCTCCCTTCTAAGGCCATTAGTTTTATAGCTTAAATTTGGAGAATTTCAAATTAGCCATATCCTTAATTTTCAAAAGTTTTACAATTAAGACAACACAGCCTTAATTTTGAGAAGAGATCATGTTGGGTAGAAGATGGTTCAACCTCATTTCCAGAGTTCAACTTTTCTACGATTCACAACTACGCAATTTTTCAAACTAGATATGTTGCAATGTTGAATGTTCGCACTGACATCTCAAGATTTTCATCCAAGATTGCTGGACCAACAATTTTGGAACAAAGCTGATGTTAGCTAAGTTGAAATCAGGGCTCAAAATAATGGCCGGTCAAGGACAATGACCGGCCAAAAATGCCTCTTGACCGGTCACTTTTACCTCATCGGTCATTTTGACCGGCCACATTTTCATGCCTCCCAATGACAATGTGATGTAATATATGAACAACGAGAGCGAGTGTTTCACCGGGATATCCAAACACGAGAAAACAATGTAACATACATTGTTTTCGAGTGTTTGGATATCCCGATGAGACACGAGCTCGAGTTGTTTATATTTTATATGGCTTCTCAAATGAATCGAGACGTCACAGAATGTTTTCGTTTGCTGATTTGAATAGAATTCTTAACCAAGCATAACGTAATTAGGAATTCTATTCAAGTAATTTTGCAGGCGTAATTAAGATATTTGATGAAAACACTAGTGACTTTCATCAAGTTTCACCGGGTTATCCAAATGGCATCTTGTGATCAAATAGGTGATTATCATTGACATTGGCTGAATTGCTCATGAATTATTAATGATTTGAGAATGCTGACGTCTTGAATTAAAACATGAAACTATGATGTGTCGAAACAAGTTTCTACTGAGTTTGTTTCGCTGTTCGTATAAGCGTATCAATGACCGGTCAAAAACAGCTCCCGTTATCCCAACCTCGCAAGCCGCGGGGTCTTTACTTCCGCACGGCGCTACAGCATATCGCCGTGCGGAAGTAAATAAAGACCCTGGCTTGCGAGGTTGCCGTTACCCATTTGAGCCCTGAATTGATGCCACTCCGAGACTCGGGGGGTTGATTCCAACCGGAGTCAAGCAAACGTTTCAGCTTTCCCTGTTTGGACACACTCGGAGTAACATCTTAAATAATTTCACCGGAGGCGGAGTACGTACACCAACATGTTAGAAATATGTTGCAAGATGTTGGAATGTGTGCAAGGATCGAAATCATAAGAACGTCTGTATCATCTGCGCAGATTCTGAGACACTGTAAGGCTTCTTTTGGGTAAATAATGAGATAGAGATTTTTGATAATTGAGATTTTTGGGCATATCGTCCGACTAATAGTAGATGGGTTTTTTGTCAGTACAGACAGTAGATTGAATTTTCGAAAATTCCATCTACAAAAAACCTATTTTCCTTTGAGCACGACAGAACTTTGCTAAAAGGGTACTTGCATTGTCATGCATATGATTGTTAAACTGGTAGATAATTAGCGTGCATACTACAGGTTGGAATAGCACCATGACCTTCACCCTGTGTAACAAAACCAGCATAAACACTAGCAACTAGGTTGTACCCAAACATATTCTTAAACTGAGTCCTGGTCAACCACAATGCAATGCGTGCGTTTACGTTTCTGTTACGTTGTGGGCCAGAGGCAGCCATTTTGTGTGGCCTCGAAAATGGCGGCAACAATTGATAAAAGTAACGGAAAAACGTAAACAAAAGCGCGCATTGCATTGTGGTTGACCAGGACTCTTTAAAATTATATATTATTAACCTGATAATCTTACAACAATAGTTTATGAAAAACAACCTTCTAGACCCAAAATAATGTTTCTCTATACTATAGTCTATACTATGACTATGTCTATGTATATAATATAAAAAATCATAATTATCATACTACTTCAATGACAATGTTGATTTTGTCCGTTTAAAATATAAACATCACTATTTAAAATTTTAAAATACAATAAACTGTACAAATATACGTGTTGTAAAGAGTGAAATACAGTCGTTCTGATTCAAATCAATAAATCTTCAGAGATTTCGAATTGGAAAGGACAAGCATATGTAAAATCCCAGTGGTTTTTGTTTTACTTCATGACCAATTCTTACTATACAACACGCAATTTGCACAACACTTGTTTGGTCAAAATATAGAAAACTGCACATCACTTTTTTTTTCAAACAAAATGCCAACAATTTTTAACAGGTTATTGCTCATTTGAATCCTGCTCGTTGCACACAACAACAGTGTCACCCGCTAATGAATAAAATGTTTTAAACAATAATCTAAAAGGTTTTTATAGATTCTTATAGTGTCTAATTGCACTTGACATCGCATGATAGTGTTGCTACCAGAGTAATAAAACAGTTTATGTCTAATTCTATCTGTCCACTACATTAGTCATTACCATTACAGTCATAAAGCAGGATAGTGTTACTTATAAACTATGTAATGAAAGGTTTGGCAATACCAGGTGCTCCACACCGTTTTTCCTTCATTGCAGGAAGGTCTGCCCACACGTTTGTTGCAAAATCGAAATATTCTGCAGAATTTGTGATTTCATTACCATTCCATCCTCCCATCACAACAATTACACTCCCACTCAAAACAGCTGTGCACTCTCTTCTCTTCTGTTTCATGGCAGGCAGCATTTTGATATTCTTCACAGTTACATTATAACTCACAACTGTGTTTAAAATGTTGCCATTCTTGTCTTCTCCCCCAATGATGATAATGTTATCCTTCCAGGCAACGGTTGCCATCAGGCGCACAGGAAATGGAAGGGGTGCCAACGACAGACAACAGTTTTTGGTGATGTCGTAGACCAGCACTGAATTCAGGATGCCTTCTTTATAGCCAGTTAGGGTACCACCAACAATAACCACCTTGTCGTCAAACAGTTGAGCCCCATGGTGCATTCTTGGCTCAGGCATGCGGCAGATTAATTTGGAATCATAAGGCTCAACCAAACTGACTTTATCAATATCTCGGCTGGCAAAGAGGCCACTCTCACCTCCAATTACAACAACCTCATTCTGGTAGACAACACTGACATGGGAAAAAACCTCCTGGGGTAACTTTACAGGGACCCCTTCCCATTCAGCAGCATCATCTACCAAACTGAGCCTCTCTAGTGTATCGCCCCCTTCCCACAATCTCCCCCCGCAAACATACATCCAGCCCTTATAGGCAAAAGCTGATGCCAAATACCTATCTAACTTCATAGGTTTGAGATTGATCCACCTCATCAAGAGCCAATCAAATTTCTCGACAGACAACACGTCACAACCACCAGCAATTACAATATCGGTCTTGATAGGGACACCAATATTCAGCTCATATGAAGCATTTCCTTCAACTTCTTTCTGCATGGCAAAATACTCTTTGTTGATTGAGGTTACGCCCTGTTTCATGCCGCTCAGGTGCTCTTTAACAGCTGTCAATTGACACGAAACTAACTTGCTCATGTTTACAACAGCTTCTTTCACAGCACAAACTTCATCCTTAGTATCCAACATTTGCTTCTTGACATCACTCATATCTTGATTAGTCACATAGCAGTGAAGTTTTCGTTTGCGGTAATTTACCTTCTCACCGCATACCTACCATAAAGAAGAACACCAACAAGTTAACAAAAGGTTAAAGTGATCAATGCATTTGAAATGGATAAAAGCTTGGCCTAGTCTCTTCTGACTTGGATTGCGATAATGTAAAATGTAAGGTGTTTTGTGACTGGTTGTTTGACTGACTGTTGACATAAAATAGGGTGCCCAAATAAATATGGTACTCAGAATGCAGAAAATGACATTCCAGGGCTTCATATTTCAAACATTTTCCAGGAAACAATGCCCCCAGACTTCCCCAGTAATACACGTCCTTTAAAACCTCCACACCAGTATTTTATAAACCGTATATTCAGGGCCATCTCTAGAGGGTGGAGTGTGACCAGGGGCGTAGGAAGCATCTAAAAGTTCGGGGGGGGGGGGGCAGGCTTCGAGGGCCACTTTTGAAATGAAAAGGGCACCTAATAATTTTTTCCCGGAGGTCATCTCAAAAAATATTCCGGACATATCACATTTTTCCCCGAAAATAACAAAAATTTTCCGGACGTACCAAAAATTTTTCCGCAGATATCATATTTTTCCCCAAAATAACAAAATTTTTCCGGACATATCATAATTTTACCCGAAAATAACAGGATTTTTCAGGAAATACAAAAACAAATACAATCATAAATCAAAGGCCACTGGGCAAAAAATGCAATCTAAACGGCATTTTTCACGGAGGTAAAGGGCACTTTGCTCCCGGAAAAAGGGCACTTTTGAAAACTTGGGGGGCTCCTACGCCCCTGAGTGTGACACCCCTCCTGAGACCTGAATACATCTTGTCGGCAAAATAATGGATTTATCGGCAAACTGTTTTCGTAGTCAGCGAAAATATTTGAGTGGTTCTGATTATAAAAAGTACTAGTTATTCTTATAGCAAAAATTCTGATAAATTTACGAAAATACGACTGAAAAATTTAAAGATGCTGTAAAGTTCGTAACAAACGCTTTGTTTACATTTTGAACTCAGTACTACAGTTTGGTTTGCTATGCTTCTAAATGAATACAGACTAGAGATTCAATTCAAGAAAGTTCGGAAGGTGCAAAATATTAATAACTTTCCAATGGTCGGGTCCCGACCATTGGAATGTAGGCCTGCACAGAACGTATGTGCAGAGCAGACTTTACATTATCTTTAACAAATGACGGTATATTAGTTTTGGGGATGGTGAAAAATGGTATGTCTCGAACATTTTTTACCTAAGCATTATCCACCACTATTGCCAAAATTAGTATACTGCTCACAGTCGTTCACTACAGACTACACTCACATCAATAATCAGAGATCATGTGTTAAGCAGCCTAAAAAAAATACCTGTGGTTCCGGTTTCATATCGTGAAAAAGTTAGGGTCGATAGGTCGGAAATATTTTTTTTTTAAATATTTTTTTCATGTTTTGGGGTTTTTTTTTTGCTGGGCCATTTGCAGTAGAGTCCCGACATCAATATTAAACTAGAAATGCGTATTTCCTATGGATGAATTTAGGCAATTTGGTTCAATAATTAGTGTGACAACAGACGCCATTTTGGCGCGCTGTATGAGCAGCCCGCAACCACCCGGAGAAAATAGGGTCACGTTGAAAAAATAATAGGGTCGGCAGAAAAAAATAGGGTCGGTCGGGAACCGGAACCACAGGTATTTTTTTAGGCCTAACCCCTCTCCCCTTCATGAAAGAATCAATCAAGCAGAACAAACTCGATTTGTAGACAGATGAACTTCAGAATATGTGTTTATTTGCTGTAAAGGGTGATGGCTCAGAAGATGTTAGCTTTGAAGGGATTGAGAGGGCTTATTTGAGGGAGGAGGGGTGGTATGCATTAATGCAAAGGCCTTTTTATCTAAGAATTTTTAGAAATAAAAATGTTATCGATTTTTGGAGTTTCACTTGTTTTGTATTTTTTTATCTAAGCACTAAGCTTTCAGGGGTTTCAGAATAAGCCGGCGGACGGCGGAGTTCCGCCGGCTACTTGAACTTTTACCGCCGGCTACTTTTCGTCTGGTCACAGGAAAAATTTTATATACAAAGGTACAAGCGAACCAACACGATGTTTGTTATGTTCCAATTGGAATTCAAGGAGGCCTCGAATTTCCCTGAAATCAATCGACGGCAATGGTGTTAAAAATTGCCGTAGAGTTTCCACGCGGCAGTTTTTTCAAATTACTGTAATAAAAATTTAATTTTAATGTTAATTTGGGTTGCTGACAAGCTATAGAAACATGTTTACGTATTTCTTTAGTGTTTTTTTTCGAAGAAAACTGAGATTAAAAGAGTAATTTACGGATGATTTGATCAACATCTGAATTCAAGTATCAAAATAGTAATGCACAGTGAACAGTTTAAAAATTATACTATACGGCAAAAAATTGTCGTCGTTGCGGCAATGATGATTTGTTCTCCCACTACGGCAATTGCCGCGATAAAATTCAAGCCCTGAATTCAAGCAAAACATCACTTATTTGGAAGATCAATAAGATAAATTATAATACATAGTACCATACATAGCAAAAGAAAGAAAAAGTGATGAAGTGAAGTTCATTACGTACGTACATACATGTAAGTATAACATCATTTGATTAATGATTTCGGACTCACAAATTAATACTATTACTGTAGTGTACATTGTCATTCTGTTCATGCAGCTGTAAAAATTAAACTACTAGTAGCACACTAAAGTACATTGTCACTTACAAGTATAAATGCAAATGACATCTAAATCTAACATGTTAACATGCAGTTGTACTTTGTCTTTTTACGTATTCTATATTATTTGATTGTTAATTTGCGGCGAAAATTTTTTAAATTTCCATGCGAGGGCACGCCACCGTCTCTGCGAGATTTTTTAACTATCAGTCACAGCCGGCTACTTTTTTGGTAGAACCTTCTACTTCAAATCATTCTGAAACCCCTGAGCTTTATTAAAGCATGTTGTAAAACACGGACAGGACTGGACCGAGAAAATGCAGACTGAGTCCATGTTTTACAAATCAATGACTCAATTTGTAAAATACTGACTCAGCCGCATTTTACAATATCGTCGCTTGCAACTAAGGATGAACGATGGCAGATAAAACATTGTCTTTTCTCATGACAAAGTTCAATGTTTTTACCGAGAAAGTTCAATGTTTGTGATGATCATGATCATTTGATGGTTTCAATTTGCTTAACCAATCAGCTTGGAGCTCGTTGAACGAGAATGGCTGACCAGATTAAAACCAGTCAAGTGCTCTTGACAAACATCAAAGAATCTCACACGAATTAGCCTGCGTGGCAGGCCCTCAATTTTATGGGGGGCCTGATTTGCAGCGGGCAGGATTTTGGCAGGCTCCGGGGGCCCGCGGAGCCTGCCAAAATCCTGCCCGCTGCAAATCAGCCCCCCCCCAATAAAATTGAGGGCCTGCCAAGCAGGCTACAAACGAATAGGCAATGTTTTTATGAGCGACCGTTCACAGACTCAGTCCAGTATTGTTCAGTTGTGAGAGTTTTGGCGGGTATTGCGACATAATAGATATAGTCAAGGAATAATCATATCCTGGAGCTAAGGTTGGTATAAGTTACTATTATTGATTTATTGTTTTAAGTAAACAGATGAACAGCGTTCAATCTTAGGAATATGCTCAGCCATTTGAGGCTTTGTGCCACTATTGTCGAGGAAACTCATGCGTATATCAAATGTGGCCGTTTCATATATTTAAATAGATGTATCCTGTATAGATATAGCTCTTATAGCAGATACCATTTAGTGTTAATCATAATTAGATGAAACCATTCTTGATTAGATTCATTTTACAATGGTACGGTTGCGGTTTTGATATACAATCCCAACAAATATCAGATAGAGTTAATATCAAGAATGGTTTCGTCTAGTTATGATTACTGGCAACACTAAATGGTATCTGCATAGGATTACAGCTATGTACATTAAGAAACAGCCACATTTGAATTTGATATACGCATGATTTTCCTTGACAATAGTGGCACAAAGTCCCACATGGCTGAGCATGTTCCTAAGATTGAACGCTGTTCATCTGTTTTAATACTCAAAACAATAAGGTATAGTAATTTATACCAACCTCGTTCCTCTCAAACAAAGATAAAACACCGGCTAAATACCAAAGCCCGGTAGTGTACGAATTCACCTGTCCTGGATGTAAAAGTAGATACATCGGTAAAACAGATCGCTGCTTCTACACCAGAATCAAAGAACACTCACTGGACAACAAATCTGAAGTCTTTAACCACATCACATCATGCAAACACTTTCAACATATCAAATCCATTTTAGAACTGTATCCAGACGAAGAAACTAACCCAACTCAAACTTGCATACTTTCAGAACTTATATTTACTAACTCTAAGATTATAGACAGATCTGATCATTGGCATTAGACGACTTAAACCTGAACTTAATCACGGAACTAAGGCATCAAAAGAACTTGTAATATTTAACTAATCGTTTCTGTACATATCAAATTACTTAATCTTCACTATATATTATAATGTAACCTGGCATCATTCCTGATGATGACTGAATCTTAGTCGAAAGCTAGAATATTAAAATGTTTATTTTCGGAGTTACCGTTGTTTTATATTTTATTAAAATACTCAGTGGTTCCCGTAATTTTTAGCCTGCTTAGTGCGGGTGGGAGAAGAGAGGGCGTCTTTGAGGAAACGCCTTTAGACATAATTAAAATTAAAATAAACATTCTCTGCCTAAGATTTTTATTTAATGTACTATTTTATTTAATTTATGTTTTATTTAATATATTATTTAATTTATGTACCGTCGCTTGCAACTAAGGATGAACAGTCGCTCATAAAAACATTGCCTATTCGCATTAGAATCTTCCATGTTTGTCAAGTGCACTTGACAGTTTTTACCCTGATCAGCCAATCACGTTCAACAAGCTGCAAGTTGATTGGTTGAGCGAATTGAAACCATCAAATGATCATGATCATCACTGACATCACAAATATTGAACTTTCTTGGTAAAAAACATTGAATTTTGTCATGAGAATAGACAATGTTCTATCTGCGACCGTTCATCCTTAGTTGCAAGCGACGGTATTGTAAAACGCAGAGTAGTAATAATAACTAGAAAATACATGCATTAAACTGGATAAGTTTACAAAGAAGAAGAGAAATGCATGTTTGTATTTTTGTTTATAAATGCCTAAATGACCTTTATCCTAGTAATATAAGCGAACTTCTTATTCAAAACTATAAGATTCATCAACACAATACAAGGAGGAAAAACGATCTACATCTTCCTAAGATGAAGCTTGAACTTGGTAAGAGAACCTTTAGATTTAATGGACCTTTACAATATAATAAATTGCCTATTAGAGTTAAAGAGGCAACGACACTTTCTAGTTTCAAAACTCAAATTTGGAATTATTTACGTAATTGATAGTGTGAATTGCATGTTTAAATCTTATTATACTACATACATTTGTGTAAAATAATTTAAATGCAGGTCCCTCATGAATACCAGCTTTCGGCTGAAGAGGCTAACCTGTTTAAATAAAGTTTTCCAATCCAATCCAATCCAATGCAGAAACCCTCGCCTTGCTGACAAAACCATTGTATTTTCCGAACATGAAGCATCTAAAGTAGTTGTCAAGGTAACACGATAATTTTTTAAGAATATATTCTTAATACAAATGAAAAATCGCCTAAAAATATCACTTTTAATTACAAAATTATCAATTTCCCAACATATATATGTTAGGTATGATATTATACGTAATATAAGCTTCAATTTAAGGTAAAATTCAACCACAAACGCTTCGCAAAACGCTTTAAAATGTTCTTTATAAAACTAAACTGCCTTTAATTAAATGGCTTTATCGATAAACTTTGAGTTTGCAATAAAATGATTTCAAATTATTGCATACAAATAACTTTGCTTTCTTTTTTATTTAAAAAATTCAATATTAATTAATAATAAAAAAAGAAATCAATATTAAAGATACACTGAAATTATATGCTATCTTGTTTAGTTGTTTCATATACGCAAAGGCCATCGGGTTTTAAAGCAATTATAAAATCAATATTTAAAACAAACTTACCTTCGTTAACGTCGGCTCCCTTCTTTTAGCCGATTCTTTAGCCCTTTCTTTCTTGAAATTTACAAAATCTTGCAAAAATGCAAGCAAAAATGAAATATATTTGCAAGAAATTTTATATCAATCATCAAATCAAGAAATGTTTGCTATTTCACTGTCATCATGCAGTCGTTATAATGCAAACTTTAAATTGGACCAATCACAGTGTTCGCTATTCATGACAGTCCACCATATTTTTGAGATCAGTGAGGATGACTACCCACGCTCAGTGAGCCACGCCCGCGATCATTGCTGAACTTTAGACTTCGCTAATGCTTTTGTTTCCCCGGGTGTAAATAGCCGGGGGGAATTAGTACCCTCACACGGCGCTTCACGCTGCCAGCTCGGGGATAATATATTAATAAAAGTCTTTATTGAGAAATACATACATCAACAAACGTGATATACAGGGTTTGTACACCTTCATAATTTAAAAAATCCAGGGTTTTCCAGGACTTTTTTCATCCTTTTCCCAGGGGCATTTGGAATATGTTTAACTAAAAGTGTTTAACCGATATGAAACGTTCGCAACGGCTAGTACTTCATCTTGCACAGATAGTTTTTGGGTTTGTGCCAGTTTGAACGAAAGGTCACACCATATGCCCAAGAAATGCTGCGACTATATATAATGCAAGAAACTTTTGTTCAATCTTTCTTTTTAAGAGTGTTTTAAAAATAGTATAGGTATAATCCTATACCCAGCTCAGTTTCTCAGTTTTCCAGGGATAAATTTGAAATTCCAGGGTTTTGAAGGGTTTTTCAGGACTAAAATAAAAATCCAGGGTTTTCCAGGACTTCCAGGGGGCGTACGAACCCTGGATATATTTAGTGAGTCAGTCAGTGTTTCACAAATCTCAGTCCACGATTTGTAAAACATGGACTGAGTCTGTGTTTTACAAATCTCAGTCCGCGATCTGTAAAACACTGACTCGGTCCACGATTTGTAAAACACAGACTCCGTGTTTTCCCAGTCCAGTCTGTGTTTTTTTATATAACATGCCAGCCAAGCTATTAAATAAACGCGCTTTTAAATACCTGACATTCCACTGTACGTCCGACACAATCAGATTTTTCATGTTGTTGTAATTCCACTCTATTCACCATCTCTTCACATCCACCACACTTTACTGGTGTAAAGCCGCAACTTGCAACATGTGTTTCAAGTTGATCAATCGTCGTAACTTCATCGCAACCTTCATTATCACAGCGTATTTTGAGCTCTCCCAAAACATCAATGGCGTGTTTATATGGTTCTAAAGCCTCAACAGTCAAAACTTCGTCACATTGTGGACATCTTTTCTTGCTGTGTAGGCGGCGAAGGATACATGACTTACAAAAATAATGCTGTTGTTGTGAACACTGCGTCTGTACAGGGTGACGAAGGACATGCTTGCACAGTGTGCATAAGAGGTTGTCTGGTAAATCAGCACGAAGACCATGAATACGGCTTAATTCGAAGCCAACTTCATCGGTAGGCATGTCAGCCATGTCTTTAAAATTTGCAAATTTGCCTCAGAATTGTCATGATATTTTAAAATGCTGCGAAGCTCATGATGGAAATTGGTTAATAGCACGTGGCCAAGGGTAGCCTGCGTGTCGGGCTGACGGGCTCTATGCATGACGCAGGCTGTGAATGAAGCATGATACGGGTTGCGGAACGCGGATATGGAGCATGAGGTAATTTCTTACTGAAATTGCGGTGCCCGTGCCATTTTTGGCACCGCATTATATTGCGGTGCCCGTGCCCATTTTTGGCACCGCATTATATTCTGCCTGTGAGTTTGTCCGTTTGTTAGTTTGTTTGTTTGTTCGCATCAATACGTTTCCTTAATCGCGTACCAAAAATTCCTTGCACGTGCTCGGAATTTATTAATTATTATTAATCGTGTACACTCATGATGATCGACAAGTTTGCTCAGCTTTATCTCTGGTTTTATGCGTCAAACAAGGACAAAAATACCACAGTTCGAATCAGCGTGTAAAGTTGTGTTTACGGATGGAAAATTGATTTCAAAATTGACTTCTATTCTAGGTATTTGTCGCCTTTGAAAGACAAAAGCCGCTCAAAATAATCCTTCACGTTTTCCGAATTCCTTTTTTCGAGGAAAGTTTTCTTTCGAATTACAACTCGAACTCTCACGATTGACATTTTGCTGCGTCTTATCTCTGGTTTTATGCGCCCAATAAGGACAAAAATACCACCGTTCGATTCAGTGTAAGAAATTATACTCACAGATGTCAAATGTATTACTAAACTACAGTATTCTAGCGATTTATGGCCTTTGAAAGACAAGCGAAATTGTATTGTTCACAAATCGCTCAAAATTATTAAACATAATTAAAAGTGCAATATATTTGACCTTGATAACTTTCGTATTGTTGGTTTTCTCTTTTTCGGCCGTATACCAGTGGATTCGTCTCACTTTTCTCTTTATTTTGTTAGTAGTTTGAGCCCAAAATATTATATTTTGAAGCTTTTAATGTGCAGTTTTAATAAGCGAAATTGTATTGTTTACAAATCGCTCAAAATTACTAAGGGACGGGTCATTATTTATGATGGGGGGTGGCACCGAAGAGAAATGTTTTTCGTGCCAAAAATTTTGCTGACCCAACCATTAAAAAATCAAAAATTTGATTACCCAACCTCAAATATCATTTAAAAAATAAATACCCACCCCTGGCCAAAAACGTTACAAAAGGATGTCATTCAGTTGTCACACATGTCCTTTACCACTTTTACTATTCAGTTGTCACACATGTCCTTTGTGATACGAGTTTGATAACGTTCGGCTTGTGAAATTTACCGACTTTTCTGCAGTCTAAAGTTTCATGTTGTCTGCACATTTACATTCTTTGGAGACACCATTTGTCTGCCAACAAATCGGAAAATCATCAAGATAGTGACTCTGATTGATTCACATATTGTATTGACATATGACTGTTGACATTGAAGTTTTCAGTCTTCAATATTTGAGTGGGTCATGCTTTGGAAATGACAATAAATTTTTATTACCCAACCTTTGAGTTGTTTCGTTTTAAATTTACCCAACCTTTTACTCACTCAAAATTTTGTTTACCCAACCCTTTTCTCTTCGGTGCCACCCCCCGCCATAAATAATGACCGGTCCCTAAACTAATTAAAAATGCAGTCCGTTTGATCCTTGATAACTTCGGAATTGTTGGGTTTTCTCGTTTTCGGCCGTATGCCAGTCGATTCGTCTCACTTTTCTCTTCATTTTGATAGTATTTTGAGCCCAAAATATTTTATTTTGAAGGCTTTAAAATGCAGTTTCGACCCTAACGTACGGACCAACTGGCGGCAGACAGGAGAATGTAGCGTGCTAAATATTAAACTAGGGTACCTGCAAGGTAGGGATTGCTGCGGGCATCAAAAGCAAATAGAACCACAGTAAAGAGCGCAAATTATATCAAGCACAGTGATTACTCGCAGCGACTAGTGAGCTGTGAATGGAACTGAAAAGAAGGCAAGAAGCAATATATATTGAAGTAGCAAAGACTGAAGTAGCAAAGACCAGGGGTTAAAGGGCAATCAGAGGTGACAGATATTAAACATGTGCGATTTCATATCAAGTCTGTCAAGTCATATCTGCTAGGTGCATTTACCACATTATATAGACTATATACACAGATTTATCACACTAAGAAACCAAAACTTTATAAAAAATATAGAACTGACAGTGGCCAAAGTCCAAAACAAATGTAAGCGTAACATTAAACGTCACATGAAAAAGCTTTAGAAATTCGATAAAAATTCGATGGTGGGTCCTCGCAGACCTCGCGCGCTCACTTTTCCCTCACTAGAAACTTCATGTATTAGCCAACAGGAGAAATCTAGGGGCCCCATCTAGCGTATTATTTTATATAAGTTTACTTGTAGCCGAAACGCCAGAAATGTTTTTTGCAGGGCACCGCATTTTAGTACTGTGTCTGGTTCTGCCTGTG